CATTTATTTTTCAGTTAGTAATACAGTGGAGATTCACCAAGCTTTGGTTAAACTAAAATTAAATTAATGAAAATATTTACAAAAGTCAAAGCAGCCTTTTTATATTATATGTACAATTATAGAAAGAAGGGTACTGTAAAGATTTTATACTGAACTTTAATTTATCACTCTAAATATAATATAATTCTTGTTAGTTCAACTGATTTTCCTATCTAGAAATTAAGCCCTTTAAAATCACTTTTTGTATTTAAAAAAGCTCTTTATTTATTTTAACCTGTAACATTTTTTTAACTACATGCCTCTGACAATTGTTTTATTGTTTCCATCGATTGAAGTTGTTTAAAATGTAAATGGTAAAAGCATTGCTCTGATAAGCACCACATTTGGCACCTGGGGAGAGTGGCAAAAAAATAGCCAATATTAAAAGTATTATTCTTTCGCCGTCGCTGTGCATATTGTGCAATAATAATACAAAAAAAGAAGGCAAGCCGGAGAACAAAGCGGCAATGCTTTCAACTGTAATGATAAATGAACGCAAACTCCGGACATAAATCAACAGATGGGGGCGCCTCCGTGTGGCCGGAGAGTGTGGCACCTCCGATGCCGTTGATGGGATAAGCCCAACTTCGGCCGCGAACTAACTACAGCCATAGTCCACCCTCCCCCCTCCCCCCTCCCCCCTGAGCACAGTACAGGGAGCACCCCTTTTGGATGATTTAAGCCCGAATGCCTCCGCGACTCCAAAATGTGTTGTGGGAAATATGCATAAAAGGAACACGGCAAAGCACAGAGGAGCACACAGCGCGTTCCGTTGTTGTCTGCGGTATACGCGTACAATATTTTTAATTTTTCACATTTTTTTCAACAAATGAAAAAAGGAGAAACCGGAGCCAAAGGTGCAACCCAGCCCCAGCCCCAGTCTCAGTCCCAATCCCAATCCAGATCCCGATTCCGCAGAGAGACACCTATGGAGCGCGAAAGACCGCCCGGAGGCAAATGGCGCAGCCACAGCAATGGCACCCATGTGGGTCACACACACACTCATACACACACAAACACACTTGGCCACAACACAACACCCATAACACCACCCAGGACGAACACCCAAACGCAACCCAACCCCACCGCCACCACATCCATATGCATTCGCATTCAGACCTTGCCGCTTCGAGTTGAAACATTTTTTATAAAATTTACCCAGCGTCTCTTGGGTATGATGGGATTTATATTAACGAGAGTAGAGGGAGAGAAAGAGAGAGGAGAGAAAGAGAGAGGGAGAGACAGAGAGGGAGAATGCGAGAGGGAAAAGAAAAGAAAGCAAGAGATGGGGAGAGATTGGGAGAAAGCGAGAGGGAAAAGAAAAGAAAGCAAGAGGTGGGGAGAGATGGGAAAAATTGGGAGAGAGAGAGAGAGAGAGGGAGAGAGGAGAGAGAGAGAAAGAGAGAGGAAGAGAGGGAGAATAAAGGAAAGCAAGAGATGGGGAGAGATTTGGAGAAAGAAAGAAATTAATAGTCATAGAAATATGTTAAGTAAAAGTTTAATTGAAATCTAGTGAAATTATGATTATAAGGATATACAAATTATTTTCTTTTATAGCTTTGTTTAAATTCCTGATTATACTTTTCAAACAATCTTAAACTATTTGTTTTAATTTTTATAAATATTATTTAAAATATTATATTAATAATTATAAGAAGTAAACATAGTTCAAAGCTCTTAACTGTTTCGAATAATACCCTTAATGCTTATATGAAGTACATAATTGTTCCTAAAAACATATCTGAACGAATCCCAGAGTACCCATTCGTCGAATCATTTTCAGTTTAAACATTTCACTTGTTTCGAAATTGCATTGTGAATAATGTAGTGTTAATTCTCGAGAGTGCCATGTTCCCTGTTTTATGGGTTTAATGCTTTTGTTTATTGGTCTGCTGTTGCGTCAAGTAAGGTTTCGGCTTCGGCTCCGACTCTGGCTCTGGCTCAGGCTTCAACTGGACTTCGCTGCTGGGCAGGATGTGGCAGGATATGGCAGGACATGTGGGACACAGAGAGAAAGGGATTCCGATTCACCGTTGCTGCTGCTGACATGCGATAAGAAAGCGCGCATTGTTTGGCCCGCTGGCTTTGAGCCCGGTAAGTTGTCCTGGCCCTTTGGCTGCTTGGACAGCTGACACGGTTAACAAATTAAATTTGCATTCCACTGGCCAACGCCCCAGACCAGAATGGGAATGACTATTTATTGCCATAAATAATCCCAGCTAGGCGGTATCATAAATATCCAAAATAGATATTGTCTCTAATGTCAACACCTCACGAATTCCCGAGAGTTCTATTTTGCGGGAGTGCCTCGTGTCTCATCAGTATATATTTTCTATTTCTGATGGAATTGAATTGATGTCGCCAACAAACATTTTAATCGATTCTTTATCGCCTTTCAGCACGAACACTTTCGGTTCGGTATGCATAAATTAAGGTCGTAATGGACAATCAATAATTATGATTGACAATATGGTCGCCATCGCAATTTCATTACTTGATGGCCTGACACATACATTTCATCTCATCGGAGCTTCAAGTCTGGCAATTGGAATGCGTTTATTTGATTTTGCTGGCATCATGACGATAAATACAATTTTAATTCATTTTTTCGCGTTACCCTGCAGTTGTCATTCTGTGAAAATGGTTTGGAAAAGATTTGTGGTCCAAATGATTGGAAAAATGAATAAAGAGTTGTGTTAAATATTTGGGTTTAAAGAAAAAACAGTTTCTTTATGATTTAGGAAGAGGAGACATGTCAACTTAAGTATTTATTTATATTAAATCATATTTTATTTGACTTAAAGTTCATAGACTATAGCAGTAAAGAATTAAATTCCCACTAGATTAAAATTCGTACATTTGCCATTATATAAAACGATTATTATTATTTTTAGGACGGTGAACAGTCATTTGATGTTTCCATTTAATTTCAAGTTGCCTTTCTGTATAGTTAACTGCTCGATAATAATGGGCAGAGTTGGGCACACACATACCGTTTTCCGTATAAACAATTTTAATAATTTCGTTTTATGAAAATTGTGCTCGGGTTAAATGATTCGCGACGAATGTGTGTGTGTGTGAGGAAAAAGGAAAAGTCGTAGCGTTTAATGTTTTTCACGGCGAACCTGTTCGCATGACTGCCTACCACCTACCCGGCATCGTGCGTCATTGTTGGACGTGTCCTTTAACCTCTGCCAGCTCGGATTTCAATCATTTTCAGGGGCGGATACCAGGCGCTGCCCTTTGACCCACGCCCTGAAACTGGACGCAATCCAATCAGCAAAAGTCGCTGCTGCAAATCTCTTTTAAATGAGCCACTAATTGCAAACTGAAAGATAATACACAAAGAACCAGCACCATCCCATAGCCAGTTGCAAACTAATCAAGGGCCCCCCACTCACAGAAAAAAAAAGAAAAGAGCCATAGTTAAAGGAGCAATTATCGCAGAGATAGGAAGAACGAGTTTTTTGTTTTGCGGCAAGTTTCGGGGATAACTTTGGCTGCTGACTGTGTTTTGTGAGGCACGTTTATCAGTCGGTAAGTTTTCCTCGACTGCCTTTCCTTCGCCTTTGTTAACTTTCCGCCTTACTAATGTCCATCAGAGATATAGGGCCCCAAAACTTTTATTTTGTAAGCAACGTTCTGGAATCTAGCTTAGCTTTTAAAAAGTTACCAGCACATGTGCCCGACATGTGTATTTACATAGTTCTAATCAGGATGGGGATCCCAGCTCCACTGGATTTCGAGTGCACATGTCTGGCCAGAAACTTCTCTTCCAAAAACTTGTTTTGGTTAATCAAAAAAATATGCTAGATTAACAAACTTTGGCAGCTTACAGGGGAGTGGCAATGGGGGAGAGAGAGTGTGAAAATGTAATGATAAATAAGGAAAAAGTAGTCCTAATGGCATCATTAAAGGAGACACTTGCCAAGGATTTCTCAGAGGGGAGCTTCAACAGCTTGGAAGTGTTAAGCGTTCTTTGAGTACAAAGTTTTATGATATATATTATGTTTGAGCTAAGGATAATTAAATTTATTTTAGTATTTGTTCAGTAGAGCTTCTTCAGAAGAAAGAAGCCCAATATTTCATATTAATTAGTATTAGGAAAAGAGCATCATCTCCTCTTTATTTAACTATTATTATTTTAAGTAAACATTGCATATATTTTTATATTTATGTAATTTAATGAGGTATTTGCATATTGACTTTATAACTTATTGCTTTCATTTTGTTTCTTTTCAAAAAATGTCACTTCATCTCCCTCCATTTTTCCCCCAATTAATGAAATATTTTTGTTTGTGATACAAATGTTGAAGTTTTCCATGGCCACATTAATTAATTAATTATTTCACTGTTTGCTTAAATAGTTGGGTCGTCGTGGTTATCGCTCGAATTCCGCCAATCATTAGCTCTGTGCTGTATAAAAACCTATTGGTAAACGCATTTCGCACTTTTATATGCCAGCTCTTAATAAATTTAATTAAAGCGAGATCCCTTTTAATAAAATTCAACGAAATCAGTTCCTGAAAATTAAATTTAAGCCACACACACACACAGAGTAAAAGAAGAAAAAAAATACAAAATGATAAAATGTTAAATTTAATTTGATTTATTTGCAGAGCTCGCTTTGAAGTCGTATTCGAAAATGAAAGGGGCTCGAGGGGTGCACCAGATTGTGTATGATGAGATTATTTGAATTACCTTTGCAATCAAATTGACACCACATAGACGTCCTGGACTGACGGGGACAGACAGTTGGACAGGAAACTGACAGCGTCAACCGAAGGGGTGCTTACATACCATTCCATTCCTCGTCCTGCATCAGGATTGGATGGCGGAAGTTACAGGCATCCCTTCCAGAGAGACCCAGTGTCCTGACCAAGTGTCACTCGGAATGCTTTGCATTATTCAGTCGAGAGCACGTTCAAATTAAATTTTCACTAATGTTAGAGCAGGCTTCCCTGAGCAGGCTGGTAATTGAATGTAATAGAAATTCAAGGCACTTGACATTAGCAAATGTCACGAGAGCACACCTGCACATCACCGGAAATAGTTACAATATAATAATATTTAGGAAATAGTCTATGGAAAATGGAGAACAACCTGGAGGGGGGCTCGGATTGGTTCAGTTTGAAGGAGAACTTCAAGCAGGATGCCAAGCCCAAGAAGCTTCCAAATGTCCTGGCTGAAAATGTGTTTAAAACCGCAAAGATTAGCCTGATGCCTCAATTTTTTCCACCACAGGTAGGAGTTTCGATCCAATTGCACCCATATCTTTTTATCTTTGAAGACATATTTCTCTTTATTATTCCTATCGCCAGGCCTATCGCTACAAGGACATCTACTCCAACCGCAAGGATCAGTTAATCCAAAGATGTATCGAGCAGGAGCGCAAGCAGCGCGAATTTCACAGCCGTCCTATGCCCAATTTCCGGCAGGTACACGAGCGCCAGGCCATGCGGATTGTGGAGCATCGCATTACCATGCCAGTGACCCCCAATGTGCTCCGGAATTCCCAGGAGATGGAGCTCAAGCGACGCCAAAAGGAGGCCCAACCCATTTCGGTTAGTAGTCGTCAGCCTTTAAGGCCTGGAAATCGTCAGGCGGCAAGCTCCAAGGTGAAGGTGGAACCATTCAACCTTGTTGTCGAGCAGCGTGTCCAGCAGCGACGAGTCTTTAATATCCAAAACTCCCATATGCAGGAGATGAAGCGTCGGGAGCTGGAGGAGCAGCGCCGGCAGGTGGAACGGGAGGCTTACCAAAGGCAGCGCCAGTTCACCACATTTCGGGCACGACCCAACCCATTTGCAGGCACCGCACGTTGACCGGCGGAGGAGATGCCCTTCCTTCTTCCTTAATATCTTTCTTTTCGTTTCTTTATTTGGATTTTTCCTTGCAAATTTGTTTTATTTTGTTGTTTTTTTTCGAAGAAATTAAATTACTATAATCACCAGCAAACAGCCACAAACACAACCTCACAAAGGAGGCTACAATTGGGGTTGATTTAATAGCAGTACTTAAGTAATTTTGTAAATATTAAAGAAAGGATACAAATATAGAAAATATTGGAAATTAATTTATATAGAAACTAAAATTAAAGTTAAGGGTCTTTAAACATTTATGCAAGTGTAACTGGTTTAAATATATGTTTAAAGAACATTGATTGAACAGAGATGATGATCAACTGTTAATATAAATCGATTTGAAATTGAATTTAACATGAAATTCAGAAACATCAGTTTCCCGCTTTTCTTAAATTTTCTTTTAAACTTATAGATTAAATTAAGATTGCATTGCTAAATCCATCACCACAGGTGTAGGTGTAGCTTCCGCACATTCAATTTGTTCATTTAAAATGGCTTAGGTCGGCGGCTCCATCAATCAAGTGGCCCTGCCCCAGTCCACCTATGAGGATGTGGAGGTATGTAGGTAGAATACATATCCATATATAGATATACATATATGGGGATCGGATCCAATTCAATCTGCAGCGGAGGGCAACGCCCACGTGCTCCTCAACAAACAATTTGTTGTAAGTGTATCAATTGGTGAGCCTGCAGGGGAATGTGGATGGTGTGTGAGTGTGTGCGTGGGTACAGCACATAATCAAAAGCACAAATACTAAAACAAGCACTCAAACTGTCAAAGCGATGATTGATAGTGTTGACATTCGCTTTTTGGCTCCAGCCATCAGCCATCAGCCGTGGGATCGGACTTTTTGTGCATTGAGCTCCTGTTAATGGGACGTTTTTGGCGGTGGCGGCCTCGTCCTTTCAAAAAGGATTCCTTTTCACAGTACCCCCTATCCCCATAATATTCACCATCAGATCATCTATCCTTGTGTGTGTGCCTGCCTCACTCTCTCTATATGTGTGAATGATGAATTGCATTGCACATGTTTATCGAGGAGCTATACCTGAAGGAGGTATTTATTGCAGGGCTGCCGAGCAGGTTTAAAGGTTAGCATCCATCACCTGAACTCGGTTCGAGTTGCAAATTAAATGCAATTAAACTGTTACAAGTTACAAGCTGCCGGCAGAAGGCTCTGATTGAGGGCAATGCTAGTCTCGGTTACTTGGATCCAGTGATATTAATGCTACTCACTTTATAGAGCATTTTAGAAAATTATAGTGTCTTGGTCTATCGGTTTTAAATAAGCATAGGTATCTTAAATCATATATATATTTGTATATATTTACGAAGCAAGCTTACATATTATTTCTAAATGTTATAGTTAAATTTTCTTGATATTAGGTTCCAGCAAATACACTCTTTTTTATACTTATACTCTTTTATACTTAATATTCTAAACATTGAAGAATTCTTTTTAATAAATTAAAATAAAATTTAATCTGAAAATTTGAATTCTATATACAAAAAATCTTAAATATTAAATAATTATATATATTATATTTAAGCTGTCACTGTTTATTTACATCTCTTTTAACATTCACTGTTTTACATTTGTCTGTTGTGTCGTTAACACACCCAGTTTTAGCAGTCTGTAAAGTAAGGTCAAGGGGCAAACTGTTCTAACGGTTAACAGCGCCAAAATGGGGTGCAAACAGACATTGCTGTAGACAACATGGTTGTGTCGCTGTTACAGTAGCTTTAGCATAATGTTTTGAAATAACGGTCGACTAAATGTTCCAAGGGATTACAGAAAATGTTGACTAGTTACAGAATATGTTACAAAATGTAAGCACTGCAAAGCGATACAGTAATAATAAAATATAAAAATATGGTAATAATAAGAATAGCACAATAATTCTTTGTTCAAAAATAAAACTAGTATTTATGCATATATGCGTATTGAATGTTTACTTTTTTAGACATATTAGTTATATGAGAAAAGAAGTAAACAAGAAAAATTCTTATATTTTACTCCTATATTTAAGTAATTAAGACTCCAAGCTTACTTTTACAACTTTTTCAATAGGGTTCATATTCTTTGCTTCACAGTAAAGAAGAGTCCAAAGATTAGATGGTAAACTTCTTAAGAAAGCTCCCAAAGCCATACCCGAAAAGTGCTTCTGATACTAAAAATCTTACCCTTTCCGGTTTAATGACGGCAACTTCGCTAAGCTTTTCTCTGCCGGGATTAGTCGCTAAGCAGCCGCTACTTGTGTATCTTTTAAGTTAGTACTTATATTTGCCCGTCAAGTTAGTGGCTATATTTGTGTTAAGCATAAGGTGACAAGCACCGTCGGAGCACATAAAATGTGTGTCTTGCATTTTGGATTTTCGTCGACGGATGTCGCCTGTCGCCCGTCGGATTTGGGATGCAAAAAGTCCATGAAGTGGCGAACTTTATATGAGCCAGGAGGAGCAGCAGAGCGCACAGAAGCTATTGCTATTCAACGCGGAACAATGTGCCGAATTTGATGGGCGCCGTATATATATGTATACGACTTGTGCCTTGTCTTCTTTAATATTTTTTATTTTGTTTGGCTTTTGCTGAGGCAGAGCTCCTTGCGGTTAAATGAGACGCCCGGAGAAAAAGTATCCGGATGCTCGCATCTTGCGGAGCGCGGAATTTAATAACGTGCTGATGCATGCAAAATAACGAATAAAAACGTAAAACTGCACGCGAAAGAAAAACGTAAACAAAACACGCATACCGTATATTGCGTATACTTAATACGTATACGTACCCGCAAAAGTGAAGAACGCAAAAAAAAGTGAGGAGAGTGGGGTGCGCGCGGTAGTTGAGCTGCAAGCGCCTCGGTAAAAAACAATTTTCGCTGTCAATTTTCTTTTATGAGCAGAAAATATTTCACAGTGAAAATATTATATGAATATTGGCAACCGTCAGCCGACGGCGGTTTCGGCCTCTGACTTGTCAAGGCCTCAGATTGGGGGCGTGGCATGATTCGGTAACAAAATATACATATATATAATATTGTGCGGCCCCCAAACACTTTAATTGTAATGGAAAAAAGGTTGAGGGGTTTCTCTTTCCTTTGTTGAATTTGTTCCTTTTTATATGTAACAAAAAGTGGATTAATATTTCAGTTCATTAAAAAGAGCATAGTTTTGCACATTATAAGCACAGTGTAATATTTTAAATATTTTATTTTATGCTCATATTTTAATTAAATATATGTTTTCCCAACAGCTTTATATTTTATACTTTTTATAAAGGTCTGATACTTTTTTTGAGCTTCATACAACTAAAAATATTATCACTTTTTGTGCAGCTTTTAAATTGAAAGAAAACATGTTTTTTTTATCAAATTTAATAAATAACAAACTTTATTTTCTAGCTTATGAAATATAGTAGTGATACGATTTATTAAGTTTTTCTGAAATGGTTAGTGGATAATCTATATTTATTTTTTCGAAATTTATCCAATATATATCTTGATGCATTTGATTGCAAAAAAATGAATAAATCAGAGGACAAAAAAAGGATCAGGAAATTAAACAGGGGGAATAATAAAAGTGAAGTATTAAATCTGGACGTTTTCAATGAGGCTCATAAAAAGAAACAAAGGCGGCTTGTACTGGGGAGAGTGTACTGAAAGGAATAAGAATACCAGACGCACACCAATTGCTGCAGAAAGTCAAAGTCATTAAAAAGTAATGTCATCGTCAACGTTCCTTGGTTCCAGGACCCTCAAATTCCCATTCCCCTGCGCATTTTCCGCAGAACCCGTGACGCTTAGTCGTCGTTTCAACTCCTTCGGAGGTCCATTAATGATGGATGACGGAACGGCTTGCCTAGAACCCGGAGGAGCCCCAAGCTCACCCCGAAAATGATTTGATGAAAACATTTGAAATTTTTATCGGGTGCAAATTTATGCAGAACTGTTGATGTCATCGCCGTTGCGTTGGCCGCAGAAAATGATGACGATGCCGTTGTGACTTGAAAGATGAAGGCGCATTACCTTCTGCTCATTGCTGATGTACCCCTGGCTTTCCATTTTCCTCCACCCACAATTTTTCCACCCTTCGAAGTGAGGGCGACAAGCCGCTTCTTGTTTTTCACAGTGTGTGCTCTTGGCAAGGGTCGATAAGAAGTTTGTGTCCTTGTTCTTTTTATGGGATTTAATTTTGATTAACATTCGTGGGGGGCGGAGGGGATTGCACTTAAAATTTGTAACAAATGACTTTGAAATTGATTGGAAGCTGGCATTCTTTATTTTTATATGCACCATAAACCGTTTCACGGATGAATAAACTGAAGAACGGCATTGTCCTGGCGTATGTGAAGAGAGAGAGCCTTTAAAGTTGGTTCATTGCCATGTAAAATGTTATTTACCAGGCTATAGGTGTTAAAAACGTTAAAAATTAAAGTACCAATTCATTTATTTACTTGTAAAAGTAACTCTACATATTGTTCTGTAGGCAATATTCAACTAAAGTGTTTCACTGTTGCATATTTCACAAATATTTGCCTCCATTACTGCAACTGCAAATATGTACCATTTTAAAACGCAAAATAAGCCATACAAAAAGTATGTTTCATATTTTGAATAATGGAATAAATTGTATGCACAGTTGCATAACAAGGATGCAGTTGGACTTAAAAATGTATTTCTGGGGTAAAACTGGCAAAGAATATTTTAGAAAACTATTTGGACAGGTATTAAATGGATATTTTGGTTTTAAATTTCTTTAAAACTATTACAAGGATGGAATGTTGTGTTCTATATATCTCCGGAGATAGCTTGTGTTTTTTATTGTATAAAAAGATAGTATACCTTTCCGCATTTAACGATTGTATATTTTCTCACATTTTATATATTTTCTTCATTTTATCCATATACTTTTTTGTGGGTTTTATATTTCTGCTAAAGTTAGTGCTTCGTTTGCGACTCCTGGTTTATTATTGTCCATACACCTTGGCGAACTTTTTATTGTGTCGCA